GGCACGTCCCACCGGGAGGAGGCCCCGAGGAAGACCCAGGACACGCTCGAGGAACTATGTCTCTCGGTTGGCCTGGGAACGCCTTGGAGTTCCCCCGGAGGAGCTGAAAGAAGTGGCTGGGGAGAGGGAGGTCTAGGCCTCCCTTCTGAATCTGCTGCCCCCGCGACCCGACCCCGGATAGGCGGAAGAAAATGGATGGATGGATGGATGGATGGACATTCAGTACTTCACTGGTTCACTGCTTTACATGTAGCCTCACTGCAATCAACTCAGAATGGTGGTCCAACTTCAGGCTATAAAAGGTAAAATACCAAGATATTTTTCCACTGGTTGGATCTTCAGAACTTTAAAGTGGGCATTATTTATGGATGAAAAGCTGAAATGTTGACCTTCTCGCTATAAGGACTTCACAGTAGTTTTGCACTTGAGATTTTTTAATGAAGTACAAAAAGTACTGGTTAGAACAAATGTTTTTGCCACTATAAGTAAATAAAGTTGTTGTTTTTTTTTAGAATTTAAGAGTACATAACAAACTGTAATGAAGCGATTTAACAAATCAGCATTCAAGACATTTATATAAAATTAAAAAAAAAATGTAAAAACTAATAAGGGAAAAAAAACGTACCTAAAATGATCGAGTTTGAACCATCAGAACAGAGTTTGTTTAGGTATGACTGTTTGGGTCGTCACTCATCACATATTTTCTTGTGGTTTTGTTCATTTATGTACCCACAAAACTTATTGAAAGATTGTTCTCTCAAGTCAAAGATATTGTTGAGATAATGTTCTGGTCTACACTTCGCGTTTCGTGTTAAATGTCATGTTTTGGCTGTAAACAATTCAACGCGCAGATGAGAATCAAAAAATTAAAATGCGTATGATTGGCCTTTGTGTTAGTGTAAATAAGTGTCTCAGTAAAGTCTATCTTTTACCACTCCTAAATCAGTGTCTGCTGCTATGAAAGGCAGGCAGTCATGAGATTGATTGTGTCTATGCGTTTATCTTACAAACCAAACTCTTTTAAGAGACAATTGTTTTTGCTTTTCTTTTTAGCACAATGTATATAAACTGGACAGAACTAAAACTGTGTAATGTGTTACAAGTCTGAAGTTTCATTTTACCTTTTCTTTTTTATTGCCGTTTGCATAAATGAGACCATTGTTTACTGTGTAATTTTGATTTTTCAGCTTGTTTCTCACCACTGGAGAGCTCCTGGATCTCTGTCAGTTTCTCCTCAAGGACCTGCTCCATCTGCTCCTGCGTGTCCTCTTGCTCAGTCAGAGCCAAACGCATAGACTCCATCACATTCTCCTTAGCTTTGAGGTCTACAAACACAGAGCACAAGTTTCATCAACACAAACAAAAAATAAACTACAATGGATTTAACCCTTATTTTAACCACATCGTTAAATAGGTATAACTTCATCTTTAAAGCAAGTTAACTGTAACAATTAGACACCAGACCAACCATGTCAACCATCAACCCATCCATCCATCAACCCATCCATCCATCCATCCATCCATCCAACACCTATTCTGAGTTGAGTTGCGGGGGCAGCAGCTTGAGCAGAGGCCCAGCCTCTCTTACCCCAGCCACCTCTTCCAGCTCTTCTGGGAGCATTCCAAGGCATTCCCAGGCTGCACACTCGGCTGTGAGCCACTTCAGTGAGAGCTGAAGATCATGGCACGATGAAGCCAAAAATGCCACATCCTCTGCAGATAACAGGGATGGAATCCTGAGGCCAACAAACCGTACTCCCTCTGCCCCCTGGCTGCACTGAGAAATTCTGTCCACAAAGGTTATGAACAGAATCAGTGACAACGGGCAGCCCTGGTGAAGTCCAACCCCACCCTGAAGGGATTCGACTACCAACGAATATCAGGCTTTCGCACCAGGGTTGAATGGTTCAAAACAATAGACCCACAATTCCATACTCACAGAGCACCTCCAGAGTGTACCTTGAGGAACATTGCCAGGTCATTACTCATCATGTGACCATTAAAGTCCCCCAGCAGAATAAAGAAGTACCCAGCTGGAGCACCTTCCAGCATTCCTGCTAAGAACTCCAAGAAGGTCAGATATGCCAAACTGTCATTCGGCGCATAGGCACATGGTCTCTTTTATGGAAACTCAGAACCTGCACCCCCCACCCGAAAGTGCTCAGCACACAGGCACCAAGTCAGGGGGCCAAAAGTAGACCCCACTATATCTAGTTGGTAACTCTCAACCTCATGCACAAACTCAGGCATCTTCCATCCCAGAGAGGTCACATTCCATATCCCAAGAGCCAGCTTTAGTAGGCCAGGGTCTGAGCGCCAAGGTCCTCGACTTCGGCTACTGCTTAAGGCATCATGCACCTGACATGTACAGCCTTTCCTGCAGGTGGTTGGCCAACCATGTAGTTCATTCGGACTGAGCCCAATTGGGCACCACTGGTAGAGACCTGGCCACTTGCTGACAAGCCCCTCCCCCAGGCCTAGCTCCAGGCTGAGGCCCCACTAACCCACATCCGGCCAAGGGATAGAGTTAATTTATATTTTTTGTTGATTAGTCTTTTGAATAATTTTTTTTGTCGCCTAGGACCAATCTGCCATGGGAGACCCTACAGAACAAAACCCCAGCGGTTATTTATTTATCTGTAGAAGAACTTTTCTGCAAGTTTTTTTGGCACACGATGGGCTGGACGTTGTGAAGGCAGCTTCCTCTCTGAGTCACAGACAGAAGAGCAGCAGAGAGACTCGCTGCAAACTCCTGAACACTCAGAAGTGAGGTGGGAGTCAGACAGGGAGTTTATCCATGATTTTGTTGTTATGTGTGTAGAATCAGATATTATTTTAGAAAAACTGAAAAAGCTTTGTCCGTTTTTTTGATAAAACACTAAACGGTGTGTGTGTCTCCTTTACAGAAGTAAATGAGCTTAGATGGCAAGTGTAGGCTTTATGTTTCTTTATGACATATTTAATGTTAAGTTAAATTCCAAAACTTTATTTTACAAAAGATAACTTTATTATGCAAGATTCTATGTTTTTCACATAAAGAATGTTTTTTTCTTAGTAAATACCTTTAAACATCTTTCAAAACAATTTAATGTTCTACTGAACAACAGCTACTTGTTATATTAGGGAAAGTGAAATGACATTTTTTTCTGTAGCTATTTATTTGTTTAATTATTGTTCAGTCAGTTCATAATGACACTTTTTAGGTAAATAAATATGGTTACAATGAAAATGTGGAAATCAGGGGGAAAATGGAAAAAGTGGAATTTAGAAAAATAAAAATGGAAAAAACGGAATTTGGGAAAAAATTAAATTATTTTATAGGGCCCTATATTTGCAGTAGACGGGAGAAATTTACCCTCTACCATCCTATCATCAGCGCAGGGCTGCGAGTGCAGAGACAACTGAGCAGGATTTCGAAATATTCTGAGAAAAAAAAATTAAAAAAGAAAGAAATATAGTGTTTTAAAACACATATAGAGAGAATAAATCCTCAAAATTTCACCCTCCTGCTGTAGAAAAGTTACATCGGGATCATTTCACCACACTTATATTCTAGTTATCTGAAATTGTTTTATGACTATATGTGCACACCCCTTAAGGTCCTGTCACACTATAACATTTTAGGCAACATTGAATTTTTTTATGTCTAAATGACTAATTTTACTTGAAGAACTGGTTATAACATCCACTTTAATTTGATATTGTTGAAAATTTGAGGAATGTTTTTGTTTGTTGTTAAAACCATTTTGCAATATATAAAAAAACATTATTTTGTACATCTATTATGTTCATTTGCACTACAGCAAAAATGCTGGGTTTGATTATGATTACAGTTTTCTACAAAAAATGCTCTAAAAATTACATTATCTTTGCTTTTTCTGATAATTTTCTACAGAGATATATACCGTTACCATGAAGGGATCCAATTTATACAGTGATATGGATTTGACATATCGTCCAGCCCTATCTACAAGGTACAGAAACTCCTCCACCACAATAATTCAGTGGAGGAATTGTCTTAAACAAATTACTGCTTTATGTAAAAAGCATATTTTTTGTTTTAATAAAATTACGAGCTGTGGTAGTTTGGTGGTCAGTGTTGCAGTTTTGTAATCCTGAGGCCACAAGATCAAGCCCAGTTTGCATCATGAAGTGCATTTAGTTAAATATTTCATGTAAGTTTGATCATTCTAATGACCTCTGCAGAGGGGAGCAGCTGAACGAACAACAACAAAGTGTCTTGAACAAAAATACGTGGATTTTTACCTTTACACGCCTTCTGGTAGAGCTCGAGTGTCTGGTCAGATTTTGTATTAGATTGATCCTGGAGATTGGAGAAAAAACAAAAACATATATACTATATATATTTTTAAATGTAACAGCTAAAGATAAGAGACCTTGTACATTTTAAACAGGTACAAAAACAGAACTAAAACCTTTACTGTTGGAAGAAAATAGGTCTTTTTACCACTTTAAGCTGTTGGATGGTTCTGTCTCTAGTGGCAATGTCAGACTGAAGCTGCTTCTTAGATTTTTCCATGTCTGTAAGCTTCTGTCTCAAAACCTTCTCCTCTTCTCTCATGGTCGAAATCTGTGAAGAAACAAGGAAAATATGGAAATCTTCTGTTTGTCAGTTTCTAAAACTACTAAACAAACATGTTGAGCACGTCTCCCTGATGATGCATATAAAATGAGGTGCAGATTGATCCAGGTATGTGTAATATAGAGCCAACTGTGTGCAAAGTAGGGATGTAGGGACCTTTAACATTTGAATCGATTTGGTACCAATATCCGGTACCTGGGAATCGGTATCGGTACTCAACGGTACCAATTTTTGGTAACTTTGTGTGTGTTGTTTTTTTAATAATAAACTTAATTAAATACGTTTAAAAAATTATCTCAATATAAAAAATTTTTAAATTATCAGGACAACATCCAACTCTTTGTATTGTAGCATCAGTTGTTTAACAAATTACTTTACAGTGAAAACTCTTGAAAACAACGAATGCTGTGTTTTCTTATTGCACAAAATAAAATCCAGCTCCACGTGTTTCTATTGATGTCATTTCCCCGTTAGAAAAACTGTGTGATGGAGGTCCATGGAAGGCAAATACCTTTAAATCAAATAAGCAAAATAGGATGGAGTTAAATAAATAAAAGTTATTCAAGCTACGTTCAGAACCAAAACACGCCCAACGCTTCAAGTTGTTGCTTGTGCTCTTTCAGGTCAGACGCATTCGGACTGTCGGGAAGTGCTTCTGTTGTTTTCCTCTGCCGGTCTGTTTAATGGAGGATGAAATAAAGAAAGTGGCGGTACTTTATTTACTTTGAGCAAGCAAAATCCCCCAGATAATTCAGAGGAGGTCTGTTCAGTGAGTTTCACTCCAGGAGCTGCGAGGCTTTCGGCTACATTCAGACTGAACTCTGTTTACTGAACCAGCGGCTGCTGACGTCATTACTCTCTTACGCGATGCTGCGTTCAGGACAAGCATGGAAAATCCCCCACTCATATGGTCACACTGATGCGTTTAGGTACCGAAACATGGTACCGTTTGATGTTATGTGAACAGTTACTCTTTAGTACCGACAGAATTCGGTCTGTACTTATAGAAGCATCAAATTCGGTACCATCACTAGTGCAAAGTGGGCGTGGCTTACGTAATCTAGTCAAACTCTTATACAAACATGTTGAGCAGGTCTTCCTGATGGTGCACACAAATTTGGTGCAGATCGGATCATGTATTTAGAGCTAACAGTGTGCAAATAGTGCAGCATCAGCATTTGCCATTCTGCCACACCCACCACCAGTCATTACTGAGGGAAGCATGCAGCATGTGAAGTCTGCATGTTCAAAGCTGTAGGGGGAGTGAACTCAGACACGTGCAAGAAAACACACAAATTGGCAGATTTGATCCAAAATGTCCGACTTCCTGTGGGGATTAGACCATGACTCCAAGAGACTTGTTACACTCCTGAGATGTTACACATGTGTACCAAATGTCATGATTCTAGGTCAACGCATGGTTTGGGGCTGATTTTTTTTAAATAATTGTAGGAGCGCTGAGGAGGAATTAAACCACACCTCTTCACCTGTGGAATGCTCCAAACAGGTGTTTTTTTTTCCCAGTAACTTTCCCAGTCTTTTGTTGCCCCTGTCCCAGCTCTTTTGGAACGTGTTGCAGACACCAAACTCTAAATGAGTGACTATTAAAAAAAAGATTTTGAGCATTAAATATTTGTCTTCGTAGTGTATTCAATTAAATATAAGATTTGCAAAAAATCGTATTAGGTTTTCATTTATGCTATGCACAACGTCATGTACTCAACTTGGGATTGGGGTTGTATTACAAAGCGTGCAGCTTTAGCTTTTCTTATCTGTAACAGAATTTACAAGCCCATTGTTATGAAACCTTTTCTCAATTTTCTATTGATCAATATATTGTTTTTATCATAAATTCTAAATGTGAAAACCATTTGTGCAAATAAATGCTTGTGCCCCCTTACGATCTCTAATTTCCCAGAGCCTGGGAGGGAGGCACTGCCCATAACTTTACAATTCAGTTGTGAAGTATTTACCTCCTTCTGGACCTGCTGGATCTGCTTCTTATAGTCAGCTAGCTTCTCTCTGAGGTCGGAGGAGTCCTCGTCTTTTCTATGAAGCTCACGACTTAGGCTTTCTATTTTCTCAGAGTCCTGCTGGGATTTCTCCTTCAGTCTGAGTGTGAGACAAACACAATAAATTAATAATTATATATTAATTACTTAAATTCCTGCTACATTTCTTTTAAACTAAGAACAATTTGAGTTGATGACTGAAAGAGTTGTAGCCGTTTTGGTCTTGAAAACAATATTTTTGCAATCTCACTCAACACTGAGATCATGTGAGATGTCTGCTCATAATCGACACTGATAATGATTCTCAGCTACTACCACACCAAATTGTATCACAAAAATCTGCCAAACTCACTGAAATATAGCTATTTTGCATTGTTCAAAGTCAGTTGGCTAGGCAGCCAACGTTTTGTAATTACTAATTGAAATTCATCCAGTGGATCACAAGATAAATTGGTAACAGGCACAAACGCGTGAACACAGGAAAAACATTATTGCTCCGCCATGACCTTTCTGCAGCCAGGAATAATGATGGCACAAACTGACAGTTTATTGTTGGAGTGTAAAATATAAACAAAGACAAAACAAAAAGACAAAAAGGAGATAATGAAATACAGAAGTGCCAAAATGAAAAAAAAAAAAAGAAAAAAAAAAAAGAAAATTCATGGTTGTGGTACAAATCAAGTTTGTGAAGTCAGCTGAATGGAAATGAACCTTACTTAAGATTTGTTCAGCAGTAAGTAAAATGAAATGTCTGGTTACCTGCTGATCTCCTGGGCTCTTTTCTCCAGCTCAGCATCCTTCTGATCGATGGCCTCATGCGCCACAGCCAGCAGCTCCCGGCGCCGCTCGGCCTCTCTGCGTCGGGTCTCCTGCGCTGCTTGGCTCTCCTCCTCCTCCCGTCGTTCCTTTGCTTCCTGCAGACTCTTCTGCAAAGACGTGACCTGCCCTTCCATTTCCTGCAGCTTCTTCTGAAGCTCTGCCTCTCTGTGTGAAGAGGCTTTCTCCAGCTCAGCTAGCTTCTTCTCCATTTGCCCATCCTTTTCTTTGATTATCGATGAAACTTCAGCCTGGAGATCAGCGTTTAATCTCTTTAGATCTTCGGAGGTGGAGGAAATGGTCATGTTGTTACACTGAGCTTCTTTTAAGTCAGCCTTGAGTTCTTCTGCAGCTTCCTCCTGGTTTCTGAGCTTCTGTTTGAGATCTTCTAACTGTTTCCTGGAGGCTTCCTTTTCTTCACTCAGTTCTTGTTCCAAGTTTTCAAGCTGCTGCTTTGAAAGCAGTTCTTGCTGTTGCAGCTTCTCATCTAGCTGCTCGACCTGCTTCTCTGAAGCCTGTGTTTGCTCCTGAAGCGTCCTCATCAGCTCATCTACTTCCTGTTTGGAAGCTTCTTGTTGAGACTCCAGATGTGCTTGCAGCTCATCCAGTTGTTTCTGTGATGTGTTTTCCTGCACCTGAAGCTTCTTTCTCAGCTCTTCAACTTCTGTTTGACTCAGATGCTGCTCAGAAACCAACTGTTTCATCTCCTCCAGCTGACACTCGAGCGCCTGGATTTGTGTCTGTTTAAGCTCATTTTTCTCCTCTTCCTTGACCAGTTCACTCCTGAGCTCAGAAACTTCATCTTTTAGCTCAGAGGTTTGCAGTTCCTGTTGTAACCTTTGAACTTCAAGAGTCAGAGCACTGATCTCAGACGTTTTCTCTTGTTGTTGTTGCTCCAATTGTTCCTTAAACGTGTTTAGTAAGACTGAAGCTTGTTCAGAACTCTCTATCTGGGTTGTCACCTGTGGAAATAAAAAAATATATATAAAAATTTAATGTAATTAAGAAAAATACAACCTTTCTGTTTCTAACCTTACGCGTTCAAAAACAGGTTGAGACCAGATAACACCACATCAATATTTGTTAAAGTTATGTTAAGATGAAAAATCTGTAGGAATGAACCGATATGAACATTTCAGCCGATATCGATATTCGACATAATTATTGCTATTATGGCCAATAACAGATATTTACAGATATTACACAAACACACAAATTACACTCACCGGCCACTTTATTAGGTACACCTGTCCAACTGCTCGTTAACACTTAATTTCTAATCAGCCAATCACATGGCGGCAACTC